CTGCAGCTATTCGGGAGACAGGCAAGCTCTATTTCGTGTTCGGATCGACATTTCGGGCATCTGCAACTAGGCCGAGTAATCATGCGTAAGGAGCTTCAGCAAGGGCAGAAAGGTCTTGGTGTTCCCCAAGATGTACATAAGAGATCGGTCATCAGCTACTCCTGAAATGTCCTCTTGGGAGTCCTGACCACGTAAGATGAGGGCGTCAGCCAGCCTTTGTGATTCCCCATCTGCTTTAGTCTGAAGTGTCCAGTACGGTATGACGTTTTCCATGTGGTTTTCTCTATGCTTCATTTCTTGAGAGTCTGATTGCATGTGCGTTACCGCCTGCAGACGTACAATGCTTCGCAATTGTAGGCTCGTAGGCTTCTCACCTATTTGATCTGAAATATGTTAACGCCTACTCGGTTTTGGCCCCAGCGTAACTTTCCGCTTCCCCTCTTCCCCTCTTCCCCTCTTCCCCTCATTTCTCCTCTCCTCCCTCTCATGTGCCACCCGCCTCAATCCCTGCCTTCCCTCGCCACTGCGTACTTCGAGTTGACCGTTCCCTATCGGCTTATCGTTGTCATCGTTGTCATCGCTTACCACGACGACACCACGTCCACCGCTGTGCATCTATTCAAGGCTGGTGGTTTCTTCTCCGATATCAGATGTCTTTCCATGCCCTCTCATGTCGAATACTCCTGTATGCACTCGGTGCCTCCGACCTTGGAGTTCTGGCATCTCGGGGTCTTATCGGACTTGCATCGACTGCAGGGCAAAGGACGCTGCTCGCAAGGCCCGAAAAAGGCACTCTCGCCTGACCGGTCCACCAGGTGAAGCTTCTCCTACCCGCAAAACTCAGTCCATCGCTCGCAGTCCCAGTCATGCCGCTGCTGCCTCCCTAAGCAACGAAGGCCTGGCTTCAGCGACTTTGTCTCCAGCTCTTCCCGCAAACGAAGAGATAACAATGCTTAGCATCCCGACTTCTTCGTCCCATGCGTCTGACCATAGTTACTGGTGGCTTCATCTAAGTCGTCTTCATGTCAGGCCGTTTCGTCAAGCCTGGGCCGGTCGTTGCACATTTTGCTCAGCAGTCCTTCTAACCACCGAGAAATCAGGTTGGTGTTGTGTGAACGGTACTCGAGTGGCGTCCAAGCTTCCCCCGTACCCACCGGACTTTCAACGCTGGATCGACAACACTACCTTGCCATTGTCAGCTATTAGTCGCCGCTTGAATTATTTATTTGCCTTTTCTGCTATTGGAGCTTCCGAGGGATTCGTACACTTTGGCGTGCCCGCTGACGTCGTCGTATCTGGTCGGGTGTATCATCGGCTGCTTGACTTATCCGCCGGCGATCACAGCATGCGTTGGTTTCTGTACGATGAAGACGCCCGGTCTTTGAAAGCCGCGAATGCGAACGTTCCCTTGCCTGCTGTTCAGCAAACGAAGCACCTGATTCAGTCAGTCAACCCGTACCTCTCTACTATCCGCCATGCCTTGCAGCAGGTCGCCGATGAGGCAATCCCGTTGGCCGTCGAGCTGAAGGATTCGTCCCTCAGTGGTGAGGTCGCTGCAGTTATCAACACACAGAATCTTGGCACCATCGACTGCCGCAAAGTCGTCTTTCATCGCCATGGTGGTAGGGCTCATTTTGTTCATATCCTCTCCCGACACTACGAGCCTCTTCAGTATCCATTGCTATTTCCCCACGGAACACTGGGCTGGGGCATCCCTGCACTCGACGAACCCACTCTCAGGCGGTCGGGCACTACAGGGAACGACACACCGGCTCAACAAGCCAATGGCCTCACACAGCTTCAGTGGTATCGGGCGTTGCTTCTATCAGAAGCTCGATTTCTGACCTTCGGTCGTCTCGCCTGCGAATACCTGGTTGACATGTATTCAAGAATCGAAGAAACCAACCTAGACTACTTACGACGGGCAAGGTCAATGCAATCCTCGGGGTTGGACGAACAAACTGCCGAGATATCGTCAGATAGCTTGCGCAACAGGTTGCCGGCAACCTTCACCGGCTCCCGGGCATGGACGTCTGACCAGGTTGCTGATAGTCTGGCACTGGCACGACATTTTGGAAAGCCGACCTTTTTTATTACGATGACGACGAATCCGGGATGGCCCGAAATCGTGAGTTCGATGAAGGCCAGTCAGCATTTTACTGATATTCCCACGGTAGTCTGTCGTGCTTTCCACATCCGTCTTCAACATCTCAAATCCTTTATAAAGGCTCACTTCGGTCGCATGTTATACGTCATTACCGTAGTCGAGTTTCAGAAACGGGGCCTTCCGCACGCACACATGTTGATCAAGGTTAGTCTCGTCTTGGCTTTACTCAAATGATCCGACTGCTAACCTGACGCCTTTTGCCCAAAGGTTGCTCCAGAGCCCCCTATTGATGCCCTGGACAATGTCGTTTCCGCTGAACTCCCTCGGTCTGCTGCGGATGCTACCCTCCGTGCCTTCATTCTTCGCACCAACATACACAGGCGAACCCATCTATCAGGTCCCTCTTATTGTAACCGGGGTGGCCGGTGTCGATTCGGATTCCCTCATCAGCTTCGTCAACGAACATCGATCGATTCTCAAGGTCGTGTTCACTTTCGTCGCAGATTAGAAGAAGATGCATGGGTTGTTCCTTATATCCCCGCACTCATCCTGTATATGGACTCTCACATTCATGTTGACGTTTGTCTTTCCGTCAACGTCTTCATGTATCTCTTCAAATATCTATTCAAGGGGCCAGACAAGACTAGGTTCCGTGTGGGTGACGGTCCACTCTCGGACATATCGGACGAATTCAAGGAGTATGTTTCACACCATTATCGGATCAACCATTTTGTCTCCGAAACTTCGAACTGCGCACTTCTGTTTACGATACCTCTAAAGGGGACATAGTCAATTTTTCTATATTTTGCTACTTCGCGAATACGAAACGATGGGAGCATATGGTGGTCCCCAGCTCCTCTTCTTTTGTTTCCGTAACCGGTAAATTGGTCGGCTGTACTCCATCGAATCAACTTGCAGTAAGAATTTTGGATGTGACCTATCTCCCGAAAACGACCCCGTCCTCTCACTCTCCTACCTCCTCTGCCGATTCAACTTCCGTCAAGCGTCAAAGCCGTTGGAGTGGCCGCGCAGACTCAACCCCGACCAAAAAATCCCGCATGCAGTCATCCATGGATTCTGTGCAAGACGATACCGAAACGATCCCCATTGACAAGAGTGACACAATGACCCCAACTCCGACGACCCAAGACGATACAAGTCAAGTACCACGGCACCTCGACTCACCTTCGTCGGATACCGAGTTAAGAGAAACAACATCCACCATTTCACTACTCCCGGCAACTCGGCCACAACGACATCGGCAGCCACCAAAGCACCTTTGAACCCAGTTTCATGTTAGTTGAAACAAGAATGACATTCTACATATCATGTTTTCATACTATCACTTTGTGACCACTTAATTCGTAATCCCTACCTTTGCGGAGCGCGAAGCGCGACGCTCAAATCTCGTTTGATTTCATTGATTCCTACTCGGTTTTGGCCGCTTCAGTCAGCAGCTATGCTCGGATAGCGGGGTTTGGCCAACAGCCGACGCGCTCCGGGTGTTAATCCGCAACGCCCCACTTCGCCAGTGCAAAACACCGACCAGCTGTCTCCAAATTTCCCACTTTGCTCTCCAACCTCTATCTACATTTGGCTGGACCCCTTGTGTAGACTGTGGTTCTCTACTAATGTACATGCATGTCTAGGCTCTATTGGGGTCTTTCTCCTCGTACAACGGTTCAGCGTACCTACAGTCTCCCCCCAATGTTCAGCTTAGTCTGGTGTGCGACTCGATCCCGTGTTGCCCAAGGATCTCGGTCTGTTCCATGCGTCGGATTGCCTTGGCGGCTGCTTTGCGCTTGTTCAGTATGACCCGGAGATTGTGTCGTCCTGGGAGGGTTCCGAATGCTTGGCGCCGGAGTTGTCGAAACCTGCGACATCGCAGCAGGATGTGCGACACCGTTTCTCGTCCCTCCCGGCATGGGCAGTTGGCGTTGGTGATGCCCGGTACTCTTCGGTTGAAGAGGAAGTCCTGGAGCCCGATCTTTTCCGTGCGCATCTGGACCAGGAGTGCGCTCTGGCGTTTACTGAGG